CAACAAAAAAATTGATGATTTTCAGCGTAAAAAAACAACAACTGGCGTTAGGCGTCAGTAGAGTTCCAGTGTTGCCAGTGCTCTAAACGCATACTGAGGTGTATTTCCCCACTGATGAGGACGATGACGATGGTGATGTTGTTGTCGTCGTTGTCGTTGTCGTCGCCGTAAGCGATATCTTTTTTGCTATAGTTACTTGAAATTCTTTCAAACCCCCGCAAGTCTTCTTTTTCCCCCCTTTTTGTGTGCTTAAAAAATTGCCCTAAATAAAGTTGAGAAAACCTTTATACTATTTGTGATGACTGTTATATAACGGGTAATGTTGTTGAGAGAGAAAAAAAAGGAGAAAAGCACATAGAATTCTTTTTGTGATTTTTCCGGTTCAAATGGCACATCATTTGCGTATATACATACGTAAACGATGAAGTTTTTGTTTCTTTTTTTTCTTTTTTCTCTTTGCAAGTAAGTTTTTTTTTTTTTGATTGTTTCATTGAATCGTTGATGTTGCAGTAAAGGAAAAAGAAGGAAAAAAATTCATATTCAAATCCTTAAAAATTTGTGCGCCATTTTGTTGACCTTTATGACAGTTGTTTACGAAATGTGACATCAGCGAGGAAGTCCGCTTACAATCTTTGTCTCTCTCTCTCTCTCTCCCTCTCTCTCTCTGCCTCTCTTTCCTTTTCTCGTTCTCGACTTTTACTTTTTTTTTGTTGCTTTCCTTCATCGTTTTCCTCTCTCAATTTCAGTGCAGTTTTCAATCACTTTCTGCTGCAGCTTTTAGTTATGAGGATTCTTGGGGTTTGTCTTGGTTTGGCTCTGTTTAGTTGCTTATATTCTCTTTCTATTATATAAGAAAAAAAAAGGAATTTTTTTTTTTGCATCACGTCAACTCTGTGTTAAAGCAATTTAAAAATTTTTTCTCAACACTCCGGGAAGTGGCGTTCAATTTTCTGAGCTTGCTCTTTTTTAATTTTTCTTATATATTTTTTTTTCTTTTTTAAATCCTGTTTTGAACGCTCGTTTCGTCTTAGATTTTACCAGTTTACTTGTTGAAAAAGAAGGCTTTTTCAATTGGTATTACATTCATATTAGTACTGTTGAAGATATAAATTTAGCTGTAAGTGTAAATGAATAGGAGGGCAGAAACTCACGGATGAGTGCTTACAGGTTATAGATGAGTAAATAATAAATACGTATATATATATATATATATATATATAATATATATATATATGGATATATATATATATATATATATATATATATATATATATGATACATATATAATGGGAAAGCTACGATCAATGAGCCGATTTGTTATTGACGCTTGCTGTTATTACTATTATTTTTATTATTATTATTACTTTTTTTTTTGTTTTTGTTTTTGGTTTCTTTTTTCTTGTGCAGTTTCATATGTTTAGTAATAAAAATGATTGTTCAACATGGAAAGTGTTGGTTTCTTTTTTAGAGACAGTTTACGTTTTTTAAATTGCTAGGTTCCTGTTACGCATTAAGATTTAAAAGCTAATTGCCGATATTTTTGCGTGGTTTATATTAAACTTTCTTAAAGTTTTACATTTTTTTAATTAGTCAAGCTTAACTAGACTGTTAGATATTAACACGTAATACAGTGATGTTTGGCGTCAAAACTTCAGTAGTCGACTATAGTAGAAAGAGTTTTTTTTTCGGTTTATATCGTAGTTTAGTTGTTTTTTTTGCTGTGCCCATATATTAGCTGTATTTTTTTATTTTGGTTTTTGGATCGTCTCTTCAATGCGGCGAAAGTATTAGTTTAGCATTTGAGTTTGAAATAATTATTTTCTTTTGTTGAATAAATGCTCAGTTTTTTTGGTAAACTTTATGCAGTATTTTTTTTTTTTTTGTGTGTGTGTGTGTGTGTGTGTGATTCTGATGTAATCAGATGTTTAATGAATTGATCAAGATGGTCGGTAATCAAATGAAGTAAAATCATTTGAAATGTTTAGTTAGTAATGGGGAACAATGTTTTAAATGTATTCTTACTTTTTTACTAGTAGGCTTTTTTTATTCAAATTTTTTGGTTGTTTTTTTTTCTTTTTTTTTTCAGTAACATTTAAATCCAGTTAATTCTTTTGATTGTTTGACTGTTTATTTGCTTCTTATAATTTTGGAATTTTTTTGGTGCTTTTTTTATGGTAGTTTTACAGCTTTTTTTTTTGTATAAGCAGGTTTTTTTTTCGATACCATAATACTTTTTTGAAGTATCACGACTTTTTTTTTTTTGTTTGACAGGCAAGTTGTTGTCCAATGTTAGTAATTCAAAAGTTGTCGTCATTATCCTGTGCCGAAGTACTTTAGCTTTTCAAAATATTGGCTTTATTCTGAAGCACTTCTTATAGCTTTTGTTCATTCTTAAGCATTTTGTTGAGAAGTAGCAGAGATCGGTAAGAGGAAAAAAAATTTTTTTTGTTTTTTTTATTTCTCATAACGGCATATATCATAGGCATAATTGTTGCCCTTCGCATGATTCTGCTATATATATATATATATATATATATATATATATATATAGTGGTAGGAGGTTGATACGTAGTCATCGACTAGTCACAGCTGGCATTTACTGTGGTAACTAAGCTATGTTATTTTTGCTGCTTTTTTTTCCATCTGATTCATTTGTTGATTTCTATAATGACGAGCGTATTTGAAATACGTACAATTACTATTTCACTGATTTATTTGTAGTTATTTTTGGCCACTAATATTGCTGACATAAACAAAATGTTATTTTAAGACCTTAATGTGTCTATTTTAGGAAAATATTTTACTATTATTTAGCGATGGCTACAAAAAGAAAAAAAAAAGAAATATTTGACAGGAAAGGTTGGATAATGCGGACAGGTGGAGGAGAGGAGGGAAAGAGAAAAGAATAATGAGTTACATATAAATAGTATTCGTCTAAAAGAAAGGGAGAAGCGTATTTTCTTTGTCTATTTTCACACGATTCATGTAAAAAAAGACAATTTTTTTATGGGGAGAGCTTTGAAGTGTTGTAGTTTGCAGATTTCAATACGTCGATACACGTCATTTTTTCTTTTGCTTTTTTTTTTTTTTTTTTTTCGGAGGGGGAAAAGGGAGGAGGGGTACATTTGATTTCTGTTTTCGCAAAGTTGTGTTATCCGTAGCCAGTGCTGAAAATAATCTAAATAATATTTGCCATATCGAATAGGTCTCTCTCTTTATTATTGTTGTTGTTGGCCTTCTTTTCCATAAACGGTTTTTATAACAAACAAAATTTTGCGTTTGAATACGTCTCTTTTCTCATCGTTTTTTTTGTGGCTTTATTTTATTTTATTTTTTTTTTTTTATTTTGAACGATGACGATATCAGTTTTTAATTTGCTTAACTTTTTTTTTTTTTGTTAATTCTCATTTGTTTATTGCATACGATGACAAACTTTTTTTTTTTTTTTTATTATAAAGCGAAATATTAAATTTGTTTTTCTTGCTTTTTTTCCCCTACTTTTTCTACTCTTTCGCACACTTAACTTTGCTGCTTAATTCATGCAGTCGTTTTTGCTGCTATGAAATAACCTTAACAATCGTCTCCAGCAAGAAAAAAAAGTTTTTTTTCTCTTCTTATTTTACTTTCTCTTGAATGGCGGAGATTCTCGTCAACAACTTAAAGCAGCTATTTGGTTTAGGGGTTTTTTTGAGCTAAGAAAGAAAAAAACAGCATCTGCAGCATTTTCAACCATTAATTAAAACATATGATGAGGAACATTGTTAGGATAAGAATATTTTACTAAAACATTCAGAATCGTTGCTTTTTTTTTTTCTTTTTTTCTGTCAAATGGAGAAGGAAAATATGGAAAAAGGAATGGCTTGGCTGACATTTTTGTTGTTTCGAGGCAATGATGCCTGCTCATAGAATCATCTTCATCATCTTCATCATCATCACTGTATGTTTTTGGTGCTTTTGGTTTTTGCTTCCAGCGGTTGTTTTGCCCTCAATTAAATCACTGATCAACTTTACTGAAGACGTCCAACAAAAACAACAACGATAACAGTGGGCGAAACCAAATAATGTGTAAAGTTATTCATTTACTGCATTGATACTGTTGGACACGATAACGACAAAGAAAAAAAAGTTACATTTGCTGTTATCTATCAGACAACGACTATACCCGGTTTCTGGATATGGTGATGTGATTGTCCTGTGCACGAAAGAACCATTTCTTGTCGTTCTAGGCGCCACTGATACTACAGTATCTTTATTGAAGTTGAACTTTGAATCTGCAATGTATTTTGGTTTGTTGGGTGTGGCGGTTTTGAAGTTGTCTCCTTCGTGTATTTCTTCTTCAAAACCCATTTGCGTCATTTGTGCAGCTTTACTGTATTTTTTTTTTTGTTGCTTTATTTTTTTTAGCTTTTCCTGTTTCCTCTGGAAAGCAAAATGGAAATGAGTAAAAGGGATAGGGATAAAAGAAAAGGAGGAGAAAGGAGACGGCGGGAAGCGGTAAAAAGGTGGGAAGAAAAGTAGGTAGGGGGAAAACAGTAATGGCAAATTGTTTAAAGTTTTAGCACATCATTTGATCACGAATTAATCTGAAGGTTAGTTTGAGTTTGTGAATATAAAGTTCTTTTGGTTAAACGTATCACTGCTATGGGTTATGCGATGTTTTTTTAGTGACCATTGAAAACATGTAGTATATCATCTGTTGTTTTTTTTTATTTATAAACTTAAATTTATCAACGGTTAGTCGAATAGCATAAAAGATAGTTGTTTTAATGGAAAGAAACTTAGTTAATGTTTATCCACTGTAGGTTCTTTTTTTTTTTTTTTTTTGTCACTGTAAAAACTTCAAGCAGTTGGCGTTCGTTCATCTGTTTAAACGTTTATTTGTTTGTCATAATGGTATTTGTTGAGATAATGAAGAAATAATTTTCAGTTTTTTGTTGTTATTTTGGTGGACTACAAATGCAGGAACTGAATAACAGGCGGCAGATTTCGTTTCGGTGATAATGGTTCAAGTCTGCTGCCATGGTATTGCGGTCGAAACAGAGTCGACCACGCAAGAAAATTGTGTATTAGCAAGCCCTGGAACTCAGCAGTACCCTTTACTGGTAATTTTTGTGCTTCTTCCCTCTTGAATTGCTGCTTTTGTTAAGAACTAATTTTCTTGATCATTGGCTTTATGGGTGTTGATTTTATTGAACCAGTAGCTGATATTTCTGTGTTGTGTATTTTGTATGTGGAATATCGCTTACATATATTTAAATAACTTTAGTGCGAAATACTTGAATTTCTTTTGAAGCATTTCATTTTTTTCTAGTAGTGTCCACATGTCTGCTTCCCCCATGTATTAAATGTTTTTTTTTTATTTGAGGCGGTATCATCCGGAAGTGGATTTTCTTGCCAAAATATATCGCCGTACAGGACCTTTGGCAAAATATTGGAATCGCAAACCCCCTTTTATGATGTTTTTTTGGGTGGATCTTGTGGAAATACTGTTTGGAGGAAGGAGGAGGTTGGTCAATAATTGCTTTTTTTTCTTCTTTCAATTTTTCAAAGCTATAAAATGATCCTTAAGGTTCGCTTTAAATTTCCTAATTGCTGATTTCAACTGAAGGCTTTTTGTGTTACAAAAATGATGTTTAGTTTTTACCTAAGCTTCTGGTTCTATCCTTCTTCTCTCTAATTTGTACTGATTTGACGTGCATAGCAGTGCTGCTTACTGCAGTCTTTTTTTACTTTCTAATTTCTTCAACAATAAAAGTACATAATGATGCGATTTCTAGGTGATTCCATTTTTGGAGAAAAGAGGTATAAGTTATTTTGATCCACAAAAGTCTGTTTGGGACCAAAATATGATTGGCGAAGAGGATGTAGCTAAAGAAGTATGTCTCAGTAAATTTTTTACGTCACTTTTTATTGTGTAATATATGTGTGAACTGGTCGTAGCCTTCTTAAATGGACCTTTTAAAAATTGTTAAGGGGTATTACTGTGACTTCTGCTAAGCGTTCTATTCCAAATGAATTATAATGTGGTTTTTGCCAAATTTATCATTCTCACATGATCGCAGTTAGACAAACACTTTCAAGTTTTGAAATGTATCATCACTTGATTTTTTGTTATGGTTGCTCAAAAAACTTGGTCTTTTGAAGTCTGGTTTTTATGTACGTCGTTATGGCATTGATTGAAAAATAGTTTGCTTGCCTTAGCATAAAATTTTTATGTTATGGGAAAAATTGAGTATAACCAGTTGTACAGTTCAATCAGTGATTATTTGAGAGTTGCTTTTATAATCTATACAAAAAATAGATTTTTTGTGGTTTTATTGAATGTTTGTAGTGTAATACTTTACCATCCATATAAATTCAAATCGAATAGTTTTTCAGTGTAGTTTTGAGTACGAAGAAGATTTTTTGTCAAGGAACATTTTTAGCTATACAAGATTTGTCTGAATAATAGTTTTGGAACTTGCCTTTTGATTCTACTTTTTTTTCCTGCAGTTCTTTATGTGTGCGTTTATTTTTATAAAACTATACGATTATACCATAAAGGTGAGCATATTTTGAATGTCTTTTATTTTCAGAATTCGCGTTTAATTCTTTTTGTCATTGATCCTACCACGATCAATGCTACGTCATACCTTGAAATTGCTCACATTGCTGCTCGGCAAATGCCAAAAATGGTGGTAGTATTTTTGAATCAATTACTTTGGCAATCTAACGGGTTACCGGAAGACCGTAGTGATAGGAAGCGTGTTTGTGAAACTCTAGACGATATCCTTACTATGCATCATGTTCCCGTGCTTCATACTATTAAAGTAATCAGTTTGTAATTTCTTTGGTAAAACTTTTATGCCTTTATAAAACCAAGTGCAGTAAGAAAGAATAATTTTATTAGGAAGCACTCCATTATATTGATGAAGCAATACTTGGCCAGAAAACATGGTCAGAAGCTATGGCAAATCCGCTACAGAGGTTGCCATTTATAATGCTCAAAGGACGTCGGGTCTTTCAACAATCTGCTCATAAAATTGCACATGCTTGGCAAATTGTCAGAAATGGCTTTTGCCGATGGAGCGGGTCTAAATTTATCTTTATTGGTACGTCATTCACTGGTATTTTGTCTTGAAGTCAAATCACTAATAGCATTATGGAAAACTAAATGTTCAACTGGTTTTGGTTTCTACAGCGCAATTTTTCAAAAGAATATGAAACAAAAGTTTGTTAAAAATTTTTTGAGTTTTACTAACTTGGTTTTCTTTTCAGTTTTTCTTGAGTTATTGATGGTCCTTGCTGTGCACTTTTCTGTTCATAATTTCCCAATTGTATTTATTTTACTTCCGCTAATTGCGTTGGATGCTTTATTAGCAATATTAGTTCTGCTTTATTACCGGTATAAGGCAAGTGTTGCATCTAAACAGCGAGCCTATATAATGCAGCAGCGAGTTCTTGTCACTAAAGGTTCAATTGCTATTCCGGGTCGAAGTGTTGTGCCATGCGAACTCCAAACCTCTGTTTCTGCAAAAGTTACCAAATTTAAAAAAATGGTGGCGGCATCTGACAAACAAAAGAGAGGTACATGCTTTATATGTTACTCGTTTGAAAGCTGGTCTAATTTGCATTCGTTTGTTAGATTTTCAGAAGAAAAGATTATTTGGTTTGCAAGTTGAAATTCTGTTTGAGAGGAGTTAAGCCAAGTTTGTTTTTTACAGCTCCTAAGAAGGGATCGCAATGTAGCTTTCATGAGAAATATTGTTGGAAAGCACGCAGTGATACTGATTTATACCTAGCTTGCAGTTCAACTCGAGAATCTGACTTGGCATACATGAATAAAACTGCGGAGAAATTTTTTAGGCAGGTTTATTTGTTTTATCTGGCTGTTGTTTTGCACTGTATGCTTTTGAACAGCATCAGCCTGTTATTTTGCCATATCTCCAACACGGTTTTTTTTATTTTTTTAGCAAAAAAAGTTGGAAAGTGAAATTTGAAAAAGATCCATCGCCGGAAGGATCAAAGCGTATGAATACGATGTCTTCTGCTAGGCATATAATTTACTACTTCCCAACTGCTGAAAGCATGTTGTCCGGTATGGTTGAGGTATGACATGTCGTGCTATTATATTGCTCCTTCTGAAATGGTTTTTCCAATTGTTTTTGTTATGTTTACCTTGGGTTGTACGACATGTTCGATTTTTTGTTTTAGATTGCATATATGTTTGGAAAAGTTAGCTGGCGTGTTACTATCTGTTTACCTCCCGAAGACAGGAGATGTATAAGGACTAGTAGTAAAGATGCTCGGCTAAAGGAAGAGTACCAGTACCGCAATAGCTGTTATAAAACTGCTTTTTTGTATTTGCAAGCGATGGGGAAGGATAAGAATTGTCAGGTAAACTTTGCTGGTGCCGCGGCATTTAAGCTTTTATTTTACGAAAATAAAATCTTTTGGGGGAAAGTCCTAGCCGGTTGCTTTGTCGTCTGTTTTTTTTTATTTTAATTACCCATTCGTAAGTAATGAAGTTTTTTTTATTTTCAGATATTTGAGAAACTGGACGATGCTTTGCAGCATGCTTATTCGTGCATATCAAGCTGATAAAAGAATGCTTTGATATTCTATTTTTGCGATTCTGTTGTACAATTCGTCTGGGTGCTACTTCAGGCGACGAATATGGCATCTCATCTTTGTATAAGTTTTTTATGTTCATTCAGAATTTTATCTAATTTTTTTCTCAGAGTAGCGGGCCGTTTTTTATTGCCGTTGCATTTTCTAGTCATTTTTATGAAATGTTTCATTTTTTTGTTGATGTCTGAAATAGCTGAATCTTGAGATTTGTATCCATTTTTTTCGTATTTAGCATAATTCTCAACTTGTTAATTCTTTTGTATTTATAAAAAAGGAGGGTATTGAGTTGGTATCCTTCTGTAATTTTTTTTTTGAATTTCTGTTGTAAATAGCTGTTGCTTTGTGTAAAATATAATTGAATATCGTTTTAGAACTGTAATTGCCAACATTTGCGATATTTTTGTCAGGATTCTTGAGGATTAAATTGCTTTTTTAAATAATCTTCTGATGAAAACTTTCGAATTTGATGGTACTTGTTTTGATTTTTGCTCATTTAAATGATTCTACGATTTTTGCTGTTCGCTCAAAGACCACAGCTTTTTCGAAAGATTAGTGCTGTAATATGAATTCAGTGGTTATCACTTATATCCGATTAGCTTTGTAGAAACTTGTTCAGCCGACGACGTTTTTTTTAGGGACTGATAGAGTTAAAGGGCGTCTGGCAGTCAAGATTTCTACAAGAAGCATAATTTCTTTTTGTAATGGTCTGAATTCATTTAGATCTTTGTAGGGTTCTTAGACATTAGGAATGAACCATATGGGTAATAAAACGACCGGCTTATCACGCCAATTTTCCTCTTTTCTTTCTCTCTCCCTCCCCCTTTAGAAATATATTTTCATTGATTTGTTGCTGGTGAAAAAAAGAAGGTTTGGTTCATTTTTAAGAAGATGTCTGAATGATAATATCAGTATTTTAAATTTCCATCGAGCTATTTTTGGGCTATAAAGTGGTTCTCATTCTGTCACTAAAAATTTTATTCACTTGCAATCGTGGAAATCCGTTAGCGTTTTTTTGGTAGCTCTGTCCACACTTTCCAATATATTTCTTTGTCAAATTTCCTTGTCGTATATGGTCTTTGCAGCTCAATTCGGGTTTCATTTCCTAAAAGATTCATGTTTGGTTCTTTCAATGCATGACTTCTTTCCATCTCACTTTTACATTCGCTTTATGCTTCAGCCGAAGTTTGCTTGATAGGATTTTCAAATTTTTTCGAAGCGTGACGTCATCCGGACCTTTTGTTTTAACTTTAACGGTTTCAAAAGTGAATATAGCTTGAGAAGTTCGATTTGTAGTCTTCATCAAATTGTGACGTGGAAAAGTTTATATTAGTGAGCTTCCTAGAAAAAAATTGATGTAAACAGAATCTTTTAGAAGGTTTAGGATGGGGTGGTCATGTTACATGTTTTTCATGCTTTTTTTTTGCTGTTTTTTGTTATGAATGTTCACGATTCAGGTATTTATTAATTTGTTCGTTGAAAACCACTTTGAATATAGGGTTCATTAAAAAATTTTTACTTTGCGGTTATGAACAACAAAAGTGAAGCACATACTAGCGACCTGTGTTTATAGTGAGGAGAATTCGTTTGATCGAAGGCACACAGCATTTTAGTAATAGGGCTTTGTGGTAATTGTCATTCCTATTGTACTAGTGTAATAGGGTGGGAAAAAATCATTTGTGTTTTTCAGCGCTATTTGAGTTTGCGTAAAAGGCATAATGAAAAATTTGACAGTGTCACAAATCTGTTTAAACGACAGGGCTGATATCAAGGAGTTAAAAACCTGTTTTTTTTTTTTTGTTCCCGGGATTAGCCCTTCATGAGCAAGAGGATTTGAAACAAGCGGCACTTGCACAGTCATGCTCCATTACTACATACTTTGAAACAGGAGCAAAGGTGATTTTTAATGAAGATGCTACGTCGCGTACCGAATACTTTACAGAAGGGAGTGCAGTTTTGGTTAAGAAGCCTCGGTTTTGCAGATGAGTTTGAGTTGGGATCTGGTCATAAGCACAAATTTAAAGGTAGATTCTGTGTTGATGTACCAGTTGTGGAGCAGAATTTGGACTCAAGAATAAGACTATGGCATTTCGGAGGGTACCTGGATGCAAGGTGTACTACGGTAAAGAGGTACTTTGGAGTGGCTGGTATGTTGAAAAAAATGAGCAAGGAAGGTTCTCATAGACTGGGAAGAAAGAGCTAAATGTTTAGTACACGTAGTTATTTCTTTGAAAGAGTAATAAAAACTAATAATTAGAGGAACTGAAGGTGGTAAAGGATAAGCGAATCTTTTATAAGGCTGGGGCTCTAATTTGTAGTAGCTCATGACAGGATACCATTTACTTTTAAGAACGCTGAAAAAAAAAAAAGAAAGTAATTGCAGCGAAGGTGGTAAAATTTTGTTTGAAATCAGCGTTTTCTGTAAAGTTCAAGAAACTGTATTTGTTTTACCACTTTTTTGAGCA